AACAGTTGGAAGGAGGAACAGAACAGGCACTTCACAGATGAAGATGCCCCAGTGGCAGAATCAGGCGATCTCTACCTGGCAGGCTCTTCCCTCTGCCTCCGGCCTCCTCCCCTCCCTGAGTCTTCCCTCCTGCTCCTTCTGCTATGGGGCCTCCTGAGCCCCAGCCACATGCATACCCCAGAGAGCCCTGGCCTCATTCTTGTGATTTTCCAGTTGCTCGGCCTTCCTAAGGCCCCAGATGCTTTGCCTGTCTATTAGATGCAGGATTTGGCCTCTGCATAAGAATTCAGTTTTGTCTTGACATGTGTCTAAGTGTCAACAATTGTGCTCGATGCATCTTTCTTTTATAAATGAACGAAATGTATAAATTTACAATTAAATTGATGCTTTCCTTTGGTTTTAGGCATCTGTAGTTTTACTGAGATATGTTGGGACGTGGATTTATTTTTGTTTATCCAGCCATAAATCCACTATGCTTCTTGAATCTATGGATACACATTTTGCAAAATTTTCAGCCATTAGAGCTGCAGCAACCCACCCCAGCCCTGCTATTTCTATTGTCTAGGTGTCAGTGAGATCTGCATTAGTCTACCAGCGCTATCTTCTGCGTCTCTTTCCCCAGAGTCTTTTCTTTCTGTGTGAGTTTGGTAATCTCTTCAATTCTACCTTCCATTTTATGGATTCTGTTTAATCTGTGGTTTTACCAAACAGTGAGGTTTTATAACCTGGTACAATTCTCATAGTCTGTTCTGCTTGGTTCTTTTTCCGATTGCTTTAGTCTTTCCAGATAGTGCTTTGCTAACTGCTGCAGTTTGGACTGTCAACTTCATTTCTTTGTACCCTACAAAGAGCCAGCTGATTTAATTTCAGCTCAGCTATTCCTTTATTTGGAGTTCTTGGGGTTCATTCACCTGTTTAGAGAGTTATCTGTGTGGAAATCCTGGGAGGCCAGGTTGGGGGGTTATTTCAAGCAGTTGAACCCCATTTGCCTGACATACCTTTAGTCTTCATTTTAGTTTGAGGTCTCCTGCACCACCAAGGGGGCATCGAGGCAAACCTCGAACTTTCACGGAGTTGGACCCATGGAGAGCATGGCTACAGAAGGCGGGGCTGCCCCACCAGGACACAGGTGCAGGCGGACAGGTTAGCCTGCTATGGGTCAGCAGGCTGTAAGCTCTGCCGGGGTATCCAGGGACCCCTCCCAGTGGCTTCTTTCCAACCTCTCTGCTTCTCACAACCTTTCCTGGGAGCAGACAGCTCCGCAGGTGCCAATCTCTCGGGGCTCAGCCAGGCCGCTCCAGGGCAACACAGCTCTGTGGCTTCATTGGGCCCCCATCGGCTCCAGGAGAGGATGCAGTTTGAAGCCTGGCGCACTTCCTTTCAGATCCTTGTGGCCAGAGTCCGCCTCAAGCTCAGGCCGGCTTCAGGGAGGCAGGGAACATGACCACAAGGAGTGGGGAGGAGGAGGAGGAGGAGGGGGAAGAGAGTTGGGAACAGGTGGGCTCTGGATGAGCCCACCGCAGGAGCAAGTGGCTTTGCTGTGGTTCCTCAATGTGAAGTTGGGGCCATCAAAGCCCAGTTTTGGGTGAGGGCGCCTTTTCCAGTGCTGCACCAGGCCCTCCCTGGCTCCTGTAGCCACTGGTCCACAGTGACTGGCTGAAGCCTGAGGTCACTTCAGGTCAGGCTCAGTCATCACATTCAGCTGGGCCTCCTTTTGTCCCCTGGATAGCTTGTGGACTTTCTTACACATGGGAAGGGGTCACTACATTTTATGTAGCACCCCCCAGGCACACAGGGCCAGGCAGTGTTTTATGATAGTGGGAGGAGACAAGGTGGATAGCTCCCTAAGTCCCCAGGCTATGCCCTTAGGAATCCTGGATCCTTGCTTCTCTGATGGCCTGGCTGACTCCAGGGCCTTCCTGGGCAGAGCAGGCTCCTGTCCAGCAGGCAGTGGGCTTGCCAGAGAAGGTGACCTGTGACCTGGCTGCAGTTGGCCAATGGGAGGGTGTGGCATAGACCCAGCCTGTGCAAAGGCCTCGGGATGTGAAGAGGTAAAGACGCCGGTCAGCTGCTTGATCAATATTTGCTGAACAAATGAACGTGTAAATGGCCAACTAACGGAAGGAGAGGGTGAATTATGAGGGGAAGGCATGAGTCAGTTCCTTGTAATGGCTTGTGTTTGACCCGCCGTTTTTCTACCTGCTCTTGCCTAATTTCCCCAGCTAAATAAACTGGGAGGAATTTGTGGGAATGCCAGGGAATGAGTCTGTCTTCCAGTTGTAGCAGCAATTGCAGTTACCTAAAATTACAAGCCTGTCTGATCTCATTAGCAAAACAAGCCTCAGAGAGAGCCCGAGGTGGAAGTGGGCACTCTGACAAGGAGCAGGAGGCTGTGTCCAGAGCAGCTCCCTGCTGACACCCCCGGCACGCTGGCCTGCAGGGCAGCTGCCTGCCGAGGGAGCCGTTGGAGGAGGTCGGAGTGGAGCCCGGATCTCGCTCAAACCACTTTGCTTCACAAATACCCTGCCCTGTGTGGATTACAATGGGGGACCTAAACCAAAGGCCTGGGGGGCAGGAAAGCAGCCCACAGAGTACCACTGAGGCAGGGAGGGTGCAGCTGGCCTTGGGCGGGAGAGGACAGCACCACCAAGCACAATGTGCAGGGTGCTGCGCCCTTCCGGGGTTCTTGGAGTTACAGGTAATGGGACAGCTGAACAGATTTAAGCTTGCAGGATAAAATCAGGATGTCTTCTCTGCAGAATAAAGCCCAGGCTCTCTTAGGAATGCTCAGAAGACAGAAACACTGAGGCCTGCTCCAATGGTTAGGCAGTTTCGCAAGAGTAGCCCTTCTTTATTGATCCCGTCCCCAGCCAGGCTGGAATGAATGCCCTGGCTCCTATTAGCTTGAGCAATCCTCATAAAAGCCCTGCAAAGCAGGTATTATTATCCCTGTTTTTCAGACAAGGGATGGAAGATGCCAAGTAGCTTGCCCTGGGTCACTAGCTAGTGAATGTGGCCGGAGACCCGGCCGGTCCGGAGCAGGCAGGCCTGGTGCAGGAATGTGTGTCTGCACACCATCCTGAGAGGCTGGGGACACCCATCCAACTTCACCTAGAGCAGAAAAAGAAACCGCAGTACTTAAGGTTTAGTAAGAGTATTTTTAAAGTGGGTATCATGCTGTGGGCAGGTCCAAGAAAGTCGCAGGGCAGCTCTGAGAGGGCCCAGCAGAACTCTGGCTGCCAGGCCCAGGATCTGGGCAGGGGACAGCAAGGCGTCTCCACGGTGGGTACAAAAGGAACAGACACCGCAGGGCTCTGGATAGTTCTGGACCCCAACTCAAACATGGCCATGTGCCTGGCACCAGCAGGCACCAACGCTTCCCCTGAGCCCGCCCAGGGTCAGTGCTGTGCCTGTCCAAGTAGGCTTTGTCCTTGAAAGTCGGGCCGGGGGGCCCAGGCTGGAGCAGAGGGGGAGACGTCCTACCCGGGTCACACTGTTCATCACTGCCGAGGGGACAGTGGGCGAGGGTCCAGGGAGGGTTCATGAGGACGGGTACATCTGGGGGTCGGTGGGGAGAGCCAGGTCCTGCCCCCTTTGCTCATTTGGTTGTATTTGTTCTTTGGTACTGGGGATCAAACTCAGGACCTTGAGCTTTCGAGGCAGGCGTGGTGTCACTGAGCTAAATCCCCGGCCCTGTTTGTTTGAATGAGCATTTTATTCTGAGATAGTGTGAGATTTATAGAGAAGTTGCAAAGATGGCACAGAGAGTTCCTGCACACCCCTCGCCTGGGATTTGCTCTGTGAACCGTGTTCTGTAACCACACCACTCTTCGCCCGTGCTGAGTAACTGACACTGGCCAAGGCGCTGAAAGTGTCTGCAGCCTTTATTTGGATTTTTCCAGCTTCCCATGCATGTCCTCTCGGTTCCAGGATCCAAGCCAGGGTACCACATTGCATCCAGTTGTCACGTCTCCGCAAACATCTGTGATCTGTGTCATGTGGGCATCCGACGGTTGCTTTTGCTCAGGGCTCAGACCAGAGTGGTGGGGAAGAGAGCTTTGGCTGCATAATCCGCAGCTGGCGCATTCCAGGGCAGAGGTGGGATGGATGACTTTGGAATTGCTTTGAAAAAAAAAAATATGTGCGTGCGTGTGTGTGTGTGTGTGTGTGTGTGTGTGTGTGTGCAGGGGAGAGTCCTGATTGAAAAACCAGCTTGAATAATATTCAACACTGTATTTTGATGGGATAATTGCTTTATTTTTATAAAGATTCTTAATTATCTCCAGAAAATCCATTTAGCTCAGTTGGTAATTGAATTAAGGAAAATGTCTTTTCAATCACCGAGTCCCTGCTATGATAAAAAAGAAGAAAGAATAACTTTAAAGTACTTCCCTACAGAACCTAGACAAACTCGTTATGACCCAAAGCGGAGCAGTTCTGTGCAGGCCCCGGTGGCTGTGAGGGAACTGCATTCTGCAGATGCTGAGTTCAAATCACCAGAGCAGTGAAAGAAACTCCAGTCCTGTGGTTCCTCTGCTGTCAGAGCCAAGCCATCCTGCCGCTGCTCTGGACTTGCTTTTGTTTCTGTTTCTCTTGCAAGGGTCTGTGGTGCTTTCTGGTCTGTCTCGTGCCCCCTGCTGTCCCCAGGGCCTTGGAGATGGGGTGTTTGGCCTGCTCCCCTACTGCTCTGCATAAGGAAGGCACACACCTCACTGCCCCCCCAGTCCCGGTATTGCTCTGCTGAGTACCCTCAGCAGACCCCAACAGTCTGGGGGGGCAATGGTTAGGCTTCCAGTGTGCTGGTGGGGAGCAGCCCGGCAGGGGACCTCGAAGCCTCAGAGAGTCCCTGGCTGCAAGGTGTGAGCCCCTGACTTGTCAGACTACTCTGGGGTGAAGAGAGGAGCCTAGACAGACAGCAGACAGGCCCTGAACTTTGGAGAAAAATCAATATTCAGCAGGAGTTTATGGCATCACAAACACCTTACGCTTCGTGTGGCTATGGTGAACTCTGCTGATCAGAGTGCCCCTCCCTGCTCTCGGTAGGGCCATCTGGGGTCACGCAGGGACGTGAGCAGCCCGCCTCAGCCTGGCTTCTCACGGTGCGGGACCCGCAATGGGCAGCAGAGCTGTGTGAACCAAGGAACGGTCACTGAGTCCGGCTCCACCCGGTGCCGGACAGGCTCGGATGTAGGGCGGGAGTGAGCACCTGGTCTGTCCCGGAGCCACTGTGGAGCAGGTGAAGCGGCCGCCCACAGGTGTGAGGTGTCATCTGTGTCAGTGGTAAGCAGGGTGCCTAGGGCAGCCTCAACAGGTGTCAGGTGCTGGCCCCAGTGGCCCCAGGCCCGCCCGTGTGCAGCTTTCTTACAGACCCTGCAGCCTCACCCCCACTCATCCTCACTTCCCATGCCAACTCCCACATGTCCTGTGGTTGTGTATGAGAAGGGCACCTGCCATCGACTGCTTCATCCTCTTTCATTTCTTGGGCACACAGAAACACTGAGGGCCCAGCTGGAGACCACCCTGAGTCATGCAGAGTGGGTGACACAGGGCGTGGAGGCCCTGAGCTGCTGGGTGGCACAGCCACGGCACCCTGTCTGGTGAGATGCCTGGGGCCTCATCCTGCTAGGCTCTTACTTGGGTAAGTTCCTAAGTGTCCATTGCTTCTGCTTTGTCTCTTGTGATCAAAGTCTGGGGGCCTGGGAGGTAGCCCAGGGGCTGCGGTGGCCCGTGTGCCTGTACCCATGGGGGGGTCCTGTGTGGCTGTGGGTTCTGCAGTCCCTGCTCCTACGTCCTCAAGAGGGCCCTGCAAAGGGGAGCGCAAAGGGGTTTGGAACCCACATAAGAGCGGTGGGAAAACCGGAATGATTGTTTCAAAGGGCAGCGCCCCGACCGGCGCCACTTTACCTGGTTTTATGGGATTCTACATCCTTTCAGAATCTTGGATTACAAAACATCCACCGAGCAACTAACCGAGCTGCACCCCATTAACATGGAGACTTTTATGTATTTACAATTAAGCTTAAATTTTTACCCGGAGAAGTTTTCAAAATGTAGCATGTGTTACTCACTGCGTGAATTGCGAAACCAAGGAAATCTCTGCAAAGTGTTGGCCTTGACAGCGTAATCTGGCAGGGCTGGGAGGAGGAGTAAATAGCGCCTCTCAGCAGTGCTGTCTCTAAGGGTGGGAGACGGAGCCCTCCCTAAGCCCACAGGTGGCCAACATGCTGGCTTCTGGGGCCTGTGCCAGGCCCTCCCTGGAGGGTGAGCTCAGCCAGGCTGCGGGAAGAGGTTGGGGAGTCAGAGCTCAGGTGGGGTGCTGGCTCCCTCACTTGCTAGCTGGGAGACCATGGTGTTTTCCAGGTTTAGGGAACAGGGTTGAGTGATGCACCACAGTGACAAGACGACCCTGGCCGACGCCCAAGGGCTGCTGTGTGCGGACCCTGTCCGACCACCGGCTGTCCCCTTTGTGGCTGTAGGGCAAGCCCGCGTCCCCCACTGTGCCTTGAGCTCCCGGGCGGCTAGACAAACATGCAGTCTCTGGATGTGACATGAGAGCCAGCATGTGCGCTCTCTGTCTAGATCCCTGGGTTTGTTTTTCTTGCTCTTAGTACTCAAGTGTTCTGTCCTGTTGATGTCGAGGCAGATATGTGGAGGCAAGCGGGGTGCTGGGCAGCAAGGTCTGCAGGGCCCTATGCCGCTGTCCTTCCCAGGGCACCGGAGGGGACCCGAGAACAGCACCAACCACACCACCTACCCCTCCTGGGGCACCTATGACAATCAGGAACCCGCAAAGCAGCAGCCTCTCGCTGCACTGAACCAGGGGAAGGGGCTGCCATCACACCCATTCTGCAGAAGAGGAAACTGAGTCCTGCCCATGTCTTCCCTTCCCAAGATCGGGTGGGCTGCAGATGGAGCTGAAGGTGAAAGTGACTGCTCTTTCAGCTTGGAATGTTCCTCCTCTGGGCTCCTGGGGTTCACTACTGCCCAGTTCCCATGTCATGGGACATCAAAGGTCTCTGGAGTGTCCCGAACTGCCCCGGCTCACAGTGGATGCCTCTGGCTCTAGCTGGGCCTCTCTCCTGGCCTGAATCACATGCCACCTACTTGTCCCTCACCTGCTTTCTGTGCTGCTGTGAGTATCCCCACCTTGAGTGCTTATTTAGTTCTCCATGTGGAGGGGACAGTTTACTGCAGCCTGGTCTGGCCCACAGCGGCCACATGGGTGACTGTCTTGCTCCCAGAATGAATAATTTGTTATTAGTCCCTGAGCTGGTTTTCCACGTGTTTGGGCACAGGAAGAGACATCCCCCACCCGCCCAGGTCCTTGGCTGGTCAGCACTTCAAATGATATTGTTTCATATTAAATAATTTTAAATTCCATGGACCCTGGTTTCACAATCAAATAATTCGATCCTGTTTACAAATGGGTTTTACTTCCTGACAGTTCCTTCACTGGGCTGGCTGGTCAGTGTCCTCCCGTGCCCTCCGGTCCATCTCTGTTGCCTTCCCTGGGACACTGTGTAGTTGGGGGACTTCCCAGGCGTCCCAGGGCTTCTCTGCCTCCCCCCACCCCTGCCCTCCAGCTTCAGCCACAAGAAAAACCCCATGGGTAATGGGACTGGGGGACACTTGATAACCATCATTCCGATGCCCTTTGTTACAGATTAGGAAACAGAGGCACAAGACCCGTTCCCATGGTGAGCTTGTGACTCAGGGCAGGATTCCCCAGGGCCAGTCTGCATGCCTCCCCCTTCTCCAAGTCCCTACTTGTGCTATTTGCTGCCCTGAATGAAGCCACAGAGGGAGGTGGTGGTCAAGTGGCTGTGAGAGGCGGGGAGGGCAGGGAGGTCACACTGAGGAGCAGCGTGGGGACCATGGGCCGAGCCCAGGGAGAAGCTGGCCACTGTGGGGGCCGAGCTTGGTGGTGATCAGGGTACCTCAGCCAGGGGGAGTACTGGGCATCTCTGAGTGTCTGTCCCCTCATCAGTTGGAGGCTGTGTTAGGTGAGGCCCTGCAGAGATACAGTGCTGACTGGGTATACATGGAGGAGATGTATGCTGAGGAACTGGCTCACGGGACCCTGCAGGGGACACAGCATGATGTGCGGCCAGTGCAGCGGGGATGACAGAGAGCTGAGGCTCCCCTAAGGAAACCCATAGGGCCTCTGCTTTCTCTCTGCTCTCTGCCACGGCGGGATGGGGAGAAGGCGGCTGGAGGGGAGCCTGTAAGTAGGTCCTCACCAGAACTGCTCTGCTGGACACCTTGATCCTGGACGCCCAGCTGCTTGGCTGTGAGAAGTAAAGGTTGGGCGCACAGTGCATAGAAACTGGGCAGACTGAGCCAGACTAGCCATAACAAACTGAGTGTGCGGGAGAAAAGCACTGGAGTCCCAGCTCAAAGCCATCAGATAGAGGAGCCCTCTCGCTTGGGAGGGTCCCCGTTGGGGGCCCCGTTAGGGAGGGTGAAGAGCTATCCTCAGTTTGCCCCTTCCAAAGCTCAACTCACCAGAAACACCCAGAACAACATCCGATCACACACTGGCTCTGGGGCCCCGTGGAGCTGACACAGACGTGAGCATCAAAGAGTGGCCTCCCTTCCAGAGCTCTCCCTGCAGTGAGGGCAGGGTGGCAGATGGATGTCACTGCTGTGTGGCCACTTGGATCAGAATGGTGTCTGGCTGGCTCTCTGAGGCCACGCTGAACCTGCTGGGGAGTCACTCAGATGGCCCAACTCTGCAGGCTGCTCCAGCGCTGGATCTGGACCAGGCCCCGGATGCTGATGCCCTCAGGAAGGTGTGCACAATGTCCCAGGAAGCTTCTCTGGGCCCAGAGGCAGGCATTTTACTGTAGCATGTTCTGGAAGATGGCTGCAGGGCAGGGACTGCTGGGAGATGTGTCTGCAGCTTGCTCTCCTGGGGCTCCTGTGACATCCAAAATCCTGGCACCGGTGCCTATGTCTGCCCCTCTGTGTTTACCCACTGTGGCCTGCACGGTCCACAAGCTCCTGGGAGCAGGCACAGCCCTCTTCCACTGCTCTGCACATGGTTAACGGGGGAGACTTGGAAGACCCAGTGGGTGTCATTCTGCCCACCCTGTGGATGAGAAACCGAGGCCCAGGGAGCTGGGGGCTGCAGCCAGGTGACACGGGGGTCTGCAGTGCTGTGCGGCTGAGGTCCTGTGCTTCTGTTTCTGTGTAGCTCATGGTGATGGCCTCAACTTCACTGGGAGAAGTGCGGGGGCCGGGAGGAGCATTTGGCTTTCATCTTTACCTTTCTGTGCCTCCTGCATTTTCTTCCCAGGCGCACATATGACTGTATTTTAGAAAATGTCAATCAGAGTTTTCTAGACAGGGATAATGGGCCTTTCTTTCCTATATTATGTTTTCTATAAATTGAAAGAAAAGCACAGTCACATTGTTGAAACATACCCCCTAAAAGAGAAAATGCTGGCCGTCCGAGAAGTTGGTTGATGAAAAGCATTCCCAGTCTTGGTGGGGACCTGAGCGCCTGTTTCTGGAACCCAATTCTACTTCCTCTGATGGGGAACACAGTGTTGGAGCCATGTCTGGTCCCTTTCCTCTTTTCAGAGGTGGGGGGAGCCAGGCTGAAGGAGGGGCTGTCCCTTGCTCTAGGTGTCACACGGGGCCCAGCTGGCACCAGGATGTGGGGCACTGACCACTCAGCTGTCCCCAGCTGTAAGCTGGGAAACATGAGCACTGCCCATTTTTTTCTGCACCATGATGGAAGATTCCCAAGACCAAAAATGCTGGGGGAACTATATTTAGTCTAGGACAGAATTCAAAGACCACCTGGTAACAGACTCATCCCCTGGGAAGGGCTGGCACCCAAATGATCTTCTCAGTTGTCTCCTTCCCTCTCAGAATCCAGTCCTCCCTGAGCACACACTGAGCCCATGGCTGCGAATGATGTTGCCATTGGTGACCGCAGGTATCCTGCCAGCCTGGTGTAGAAAGGCCACTTCAGGCTTCAGCCAGGGCCCAGGTTTCCATGAGGGGCTGGAAGCTCTGCTCCTGATTAGCTCCATGATTTGGTGCAGCTGCCCATCCTCCTGGGCCTCAGTTTCTCTACCTGTGAAACACAGGAAGTGGCTGATAGCCTCTGGTGATCTAGGTTGAGTACCTGGTCTTATTTCAGGTGAGAGGAAGTAGGGACCCCAGAAACCCTCAGGGATGCTGGCCCTGTCTCCATGGAGACCAGCTCACCACGCCTCTTCTGGCATGGTGACGGCCTCTCTGATGGCCTCCTTCGGAAGTGGTAGGTTCCAGCCCCAGGACGCCTATTGGCTGCTGACCTTTGACCCTCAGGATGTTGCAAATGCGGGCCTGTAAAGATGAAGGCCTCACTGCCAGACCAGGCCCCCAGGGCACCGCTAGACTGGTGGGTTCACACCCTAGCCTGAACCAGGATCTTTCTGTCACTGAGCAAGCCCCCACTTCCCGGGGCAGCCCTGTTCCCTCCTTCATCCTTGATGTCCATCCACTTGCAAAAAAGGGTTTTTTGGTTCTACTGCAAGTTCTCCAAACTCCACTCCTGTGTCCCCAGTACCTTCCAAGGAAGCCTTGGGCATCGGGCTCTTGATGCCCAGCTACAGTGTAGGTAGAAGTGCACATAGCCAGGCCTGGCCACAGCACGGCTACACACCACTGGCCATCTCCATCTGTCACCTCCTTGTTCTCACTGGACACCTGGTTCCTCTTCTCCACCCTGGAGCACAGTCCCAGGACCCTGGGGACTTCTCATCCACCGTGCTCAGGGCTCTGGGTGAGACTCAGTGTGTAGAGCTCTCCACGGGCTCTGGGTGCCCAGCCAGGACCCCAAATCTGGGCCCAGAGGGGACAGGTGTGACCCCTTCTTACTGCCATTTTCTTGAGGGCAAGTGATAGAAAGTCAACTCAGGTAGGCTTGAAACAAAGTCAGTGGTTCTCAGGCACACCGAGAACTGTGAGTTTGAGCTCAGTTACCATTGCCACTCTGTCCAGTGCAGTGGACAGCAGACTCCTGAGTCCCCTTGATGCCACAGAGGCTGTGCTGTGTAGGTTGAGGCTCCCCAGAGGCACGAAACCCAGAGAATGCACATGTGTGCTGGAGGCATGAGTCATGCAGTTGTGTGGCTGAGGCGTCCCCAGGCCTGCTGCTGGCAAGCTGGAGAGCACAGGGGCCCATGGTGTTGGTGTGGTCCCTGCAGAATGGGCACAGCCTCCCCAGAACAAGGTGACGGGCCCCTAGATTGGGCACTGGGCACCTGTCCAGCAGGACGCTGCCCTCTGAGCTCCACTTAACTTCACGGACCACTCCGGGAAGGGACACCAGGAGAGGGGCCAGGGCACACAGCCACAGGTGAGAGGGGCTTCTGAGGGGCAGTGGTCTGCAGAAAGTCTGGTACACCTTATGGATGTTGGGGAGCAGCAAGATGGACTGCAGTTGACCCTGCCAGTATCCATCTCTCTTCCCTCCTTCCCCTCCCCCATGCTCCTCCCTGGCTCCTTCCTTAGGCCTGCAGTTTCTCCTGGCACACTTGCGTGCCCCATACCAACACTGCCTGCAGCTTACACACTAGAGGCCACGTCCACCACTGCCTGACTCCTTGGGAGTTCCCAGCTGTCCCTATGGGACACACCTCATTCAGGAGGGCAGGTGATGGCTGTCACAGGGCTGCAGGGGAGCTGCAGACCTGGCTTATCCTCTTGGCAGAACAGTTGCATTATTGTGTGGCATCAGGCACAGAGGTGGACCCGTCCCAGGAAATTGCCAGTGTCAGGGCCCCAGGGGCCGGGGGACCTCAAATTGACCACACCGTCTGCAGGTGTCTGGAGAGTGGGCCTGGGGCCTATGGGTGTTGGGGGCATGGGACACCTGTGTCCTCTGGGAGCACAGTTTTCTCCCTGGCACAACAGGTGTGCACCTGTGCGTGCACATGGAGGCCGGGGACCTCCCTACTTTGGAGCCCAAAGCCTCTGCCCAGAGGCAGTGTGGAGATGCCCCTAACCCCTGTCAGGGCTTCTGTTACCCCTCCAGGGCCCTGGGGCCCACTGAGGGGCAGAGAAGCATCCAGGGCTATGAGAGGCAGCACTGGCGAGGGTGGCACCTACTGTTCTGTTATTCCCTGCAAGTGGCTGATCCCAGGAGAGCAGGTAAAACACTGCCAGGGAAACAAGCCAGTGAGTAACATGGGAAAGGGGAGGACAGGATGCAGAAGGGCAGCTCCTACAAGCCACACCGATGGGGGATCCAGGGAGCAGGGCTGGACTTGGCTCATCTCTGGGGCTCTCGGGGCAGCAAATGCAGGGCCCAACAGGGTCCTCTGAGGTGTCCTCCAGAATGGCAGCAATCTGCCTTGGCTCTGACGGTCAGGGCAGGTTTGACAGGTTCTGCGGGGGGCACTGCAGGGCCAGAGGGACTCATCGTCCCTGTATACTTTCCTGCTGTGGCCATACCAGCCTGCTCCTCCTGGTCCAGGCCTTTGCATGTGCAGGTGCCAGGCTGTAGCCAGAGTTCACTGGCACTTCCTCTTTGGCAGTACCTTCCTGGGCCTCCTGACCCACAGCCAACTGATCTGGGACAAGGCCCATCATCTGCTGGACACCTGGCTGGGGAAGGAGCAATCACAGATGATTTCTACCACACTGTAGGTTTCAAAAATTTCCATTTCTGACCCCAAAGACATTGAGCATCTATTTCCCCATCTTTATGTCTAGGTGTGAGAAGGTGGCTTTGTTAAAGAATGAACCAATCTAAATTCATGGGCACCATGAGTGCTTTTAGTTTCAGGGAGTGGGGCTAAGAGATCAGAGTTGCGTGTGAGGTGGGCTCGGTGTGTGCAGGTGTGCACGTGTGTGTGCAGGGAATGCTGGGCTCATGCACAATTGAGCCAAATCTGCAGCCAGCTGGCAGAGTGGTGAGGACTGGTATGCGGGTGTGGGGTTCCATGGTCTGCCTTGAGACCTGAAAACTGAGCGAAGGAAATGAACTCAGTTCTCCCAGGGCACAGGAGGGGCAGGAGGTGACCAGAGAATTAATCTCCAGGTTGCCCATCACAAGGACATGGGGAAGGGTCCTTTGTGTCCCTCCAGGAGCCAGAGAACAAGGGTTTTCCAAAGCCAGCAGAGAGCAGGGTGTCATGGTGTACACCTGTACGGCAGACCTCTGGGAGGCTGAGGCAGGAGGGTAGAAAGTTTGAGCCCAACCTGCACAAGTTAGAGACTTGGTGAGACCCATGCCTCAAAATTTAAAAAGGGCCAGCTCATTGGGAAGGCCCTGGGTTCAATCCCCAGTACCACAGTAAAAAACGGCGGGCAAGAGTTTGGGCCTAGGCCCTTCCGTCTTCCACCACTAACTGTGTCTTGCAGTCTGACACTACTCACAGGCTGACAGCCTTGTCCCCGTGCTGTGTCAGGGGAGCTGTGCCTGGCACTCACAGCTGCCATGAATGCTGGCATGCTAGGGGGACCCCAGGGCCTTCGGGTTCTACCAGCATGGCAGAGCTTCATCAGGCTCCAGAGACAAAGCCCCAACATTTGCAGTGGGGAGCAGAGAGGGGTGGGAG